ATGAAAAAATGAATGAATTCAATGCTTAAGCCACATGAAGCTTGTAGAACAAAATTAATATAAACAATGAATAAAATGACATACATATCTATAAACAATAGGGGAAAAAAAAAAGGAAAAAAGTGCTAAATTCTTCTTGGCTATGGGCTAGTTTAGATGTGCTTTTAAAATGACTGAAAGTACTTTTAGTGAAAATGTTTTTGTGTTCCAAAAACACTTTAAGTGTTTTCTATAAGAAACACCAGGTATGTGCTTGTTTCATGTAAGTACTTTAAGTACTTTTCTAGAATTTACTAGCATTTTTACTAAGGATTGTTTCCAAAAGTATTTTCACCAAAAGCGCTTTCAATCATTTTAAAAGTACGTCTAAATGCGCTCTAGATCTCCACTTGCTCTAAATAAAAATGAGGAAGTATGCGAACCACCTAGCCCTACATTCAAAATATCACAACAATTGCACTTATAAGTCTATTGGGAGTGGTGAAGGTCCACTTCTATGCATGCAAATTAATGGCAAATGTCTAGGAACAGAAACGAAAAATTCAACAAGACACTTCTATGTATGCAAATTAATGGCAAAAATTGCATTTTTTTTTGGTGTTACTGCTAATTATTTGAATAAATGGATAAGTGAGTGAAGATATAGAGTGTCTTGTTCTTCAATGGATTGCATAAAATGATGGGATTGAATACATCTAAACTTCTTTAAATTATATAAAATGGCGATTGAATACGCCCACTTCAAATTAGTTCAACTTCAAACTGCTCGAAAATAAATATTAATGTTCAAGAAGCCGTTCTATCTACGGTTTACCCTATTTTAGTACTCTTGCACTAAATCATCTCAACAATAAAGTTTTAGAACGCAAAACTACACTGATTACCCTTGTCTAAATCAGCTAAGTAGCATTCACAAGCAGGTATATAGAAACCGATCCAGCCCTTGGTTACCATGCTAAATTATTTTATCCACATGAGTCCTTGTTAACTTCAAACAATTTCATTGTAAGTGTTGTTAATTGGCAATGCAACATGTTCTTGCAGTCCTTCAAACTCTCCTTGCGTGTTTGCAACTACGAAATCCTCTCCAAAGAACTTGTGCCTTGGACGGACTTCATAACAGGAGCTAACTATGACAAGTCAAATCCCAAGCCTTGGGCCTCCTCCTAGAGTATTTGGAGATTCTCCATTCCCTTATGTGTCATTTCCTTCCGCCTCATTGAAGTGAAGAAAAACAGCATATCTCCCAATGTTCTATAAGCAAACTCACACTATTAAGCGGACCTATTTGGGCATGCGGCTAAATCTGGATGAGGCAAATAGGCCCTCTCGAGCAATGAAGCATGACTCCTCAGAACCATTGCCAAGCCTCGAAAGTCAAGTAATTCATAATCGTCAAATGGTTCAGGTTTGACGTGGACTGCATGGTTAGACTGTTAAGCTGAGGGAGGAACCAGAGTTCTTGTGGTAGCCTCCACCCTTTGCTTTGTCTTGTGCAGAAGGCTTTCAGTTGGTTTAATCTTCTGTACAAAAGAACTTATGCAGGGTAAATCCCATTTCCAATTTTCCAGTCCCAAAAAATGTCACCCACACCCTTTTTATGAAGGGAGCTTTAATGAAAAGGGTTGGGTCAACAAATATTTAACCAAAAACCATCCTAAAATGTTATTTAACCAAAAGGGCTCAAAGTTTAATAAAAAATAATCCAAAACTATTGTCTACCTTTTTCGTGCCCTTATCCTCATCTTCCTCGTCATCGTCCTCATCCTCATCCTCTTATCTGCATCACGAACAATTTATAGTGTTAGTATTTTATTCGAATCAGATCCAATAAGGACCTACGGTCCTGTTGATGTACATATAGATCAGGCGTTTGTAAATAGCAAAAAAAAACAAAAAATTAAAAAAACCAAAACATAAAACTGTTTTTGGAGAACTCAAAACATAACACTATTTCTGGAAAAAAAAAAAAAATCAAATACAGTGTTTATTTTTTCTATGCACAAACAAACACTGTATCTGGAAAGAAAATAACCAAAATCTAGAAGCAGTGACTTAAATTCCAAAAACAGTGACTTAGATTCCAGAAACAGTCTATATTTTAACCTTTGATTGTTTCTTTTCTTTCATGCATCAATTGATTATATTTAATAAACATGATGCTTATTTTTCTTTGAATCCAAATACAATGAATTTCACTATTTCTTTTCTAGCTTACATTTAAGAAATAGTGTGTCTATTTCATTTGGACCCAGAAACAGTGACTTATATTCTAGAAACAGTAACTTAGATTCTATAAACAGTTTTACTTAAAATCCAGAAACAGTTTATTTTTACAATCCATAAACAATGACCCGTCGTTATTATTAAATAACATGCAAATCTCAAATTTATTTTCTAGAGAAACGATGAACTCCACTAACGAAGAAAAATTGAGAAACAGTACCTCGAATACTTTATGAATAATAACGATGATCATGTTTCAACGAAATAATACAAAATATAAATTAAATAGCATGAGGATCTATATTTTTGTTTCAAAGAAAAAGAAGAAGATCTGCAAAACAACAATGAACTCCATTAACGACAAAAATCTGGAACTCAACCTAAAAATGTTAGGGGTAAAATCGACAAATCATAATTTATTATAGTTAGACCATTTTTAGTTTGAGCATTTTAATATGGGCCTTGTACTAATCATTAAGCAAAACTTATAACATGGTTTTTTTATTAAAACTAAAATTTTTCAAGTCATTTTCATTAGTTTTCATTTTTATGAATGCTACATATAAAAGAATATCAAATTTTGGAGTTTGACAACAAGAGCTAAGGCAAGAAAAGAAAGACATTGCATAGAATGGAATAGAAAATTAAGCCTGAGGAGAACGAGCCATGGCCTCCTTCTCGTTGATCCTACCGACCTTTATTTTCCTTCTCTTGATTGTACTAAGGACTCCTAGAGTTCTCTTTCTCCAGTTGTTGCTCTTCAACCTTGACCTTGTTCGGGAGGATATGTGGTTTTTATGACTTAACAAAAAAAACAAATATTTCAGTTCAGAGATCACAAAACATACTTTAACAAACCAATGTGGTAACTTTAAGAACCAAATATTATGCATTCAATTACTGGAAACCGAAGAAGTTCATGAAAATGTAAAATGACAAACAGAAAGGAATCACCGCAAGCATAACCTCATTTCCAGAGTCCCTAAAGTATATAACACATAAAGATCTAGAGATACTATCTCATGCAATTAAAGTTATGATCTTTAAGCATACAAAATCTAGCGTTCAAGGGATTAATTCGGCTTGTCATCCTATTCTAAACTACCCTAGCTCAACATTATGATACTAATGGACCAAATATGATCCAAGATTTACGCTGAGCATAAACATAGAACTAGAATCCTTAAAAAAAACATAAAAGTACTAAAAGATCATCAAATTCAACAAAAATACTACCACATTTCATGACCCCCAAACACAGACAAAAGTCACAAAACCCACTAATGTGATAAATTTGGTAGTTTTCAATTATTAACCAAAACTTGAAACCGTAAACAGTAAACTTTTGACCCCTAAAAGCGGAGTGGTTTTTACTTTCTACCCATCGGCAAAGATTAAGCATCAAAAACACATGCAAGATGGAATCTTTGAGAAGCAGAAGAAAGCCTCTGAGGAAATGAGGATCAGGGAGTCACCATTTCAGGGGGCACTTCTAATCTTCTTCCATCATCACACTCTACCAACTTGCTCTTAATCATCTTTCTGCATAGCAGATACACAAGCAATGAAGCATTAACGAGGGTAAATTTGAAAAGTAAAGTAAATTTCAAGGACAAAAAAGGAAAGGAAAACTTGTGGCCTTAAATATGACAAGGCTGATGCTATCTACACACTCATTTTTACCTCTCACATAGCTTCTTAGATTTTGGTCATTGGATCGAATGAAAGAAGATCAATGGACAAAAAATCAACAAGGTGTGTAGGAGGTAAAAAAGTGTGTAAGTGTGTGTGTGTGTGTGTGTGTGTGTGTATAGCACTATGCATATGGTAAAGCCTCTGAACTGCTTAAAAGTATAGATTTTTACTCAAGAAGTTTTGTACTAGTGAGTTGCGATTTTTCAATGTATTCGAAACACAAACCAATATATTTACGTGTTATGGTAGCAAATTTTTGTCGTCTTCAATCTTGATGAAATTATGCCTACAAAACAAATAACACCTTTGATCAAGGACCTAAGCCACACACGCCTATGAAGTAGGGGTTTGGCCAATGGATCTTCGATACCTAAGTCAATTTCTGTTAAAAGAGTGAGTGTTCAGGCTTGTATGCATAGCAAAAGCTTAACAAAAATTGGTGGAGATGACATATTTTTAGAGAGGTGGTCGGCCTAGGTATAAGGTTTTGCCCTACACGTAGAGAGTTCCCATTAGTTAAGATTAGTCATTCCTAGGATGGATGAGGAAAGACTTATCCAAGATATTAATTAGGAGATAATATCTTGACATAATGATGGTAGCATCCTTGATTGATTGTGATGGAGATTCCTTACTTGTTCAAGGTGATTCTCAATTAGTAATGTATTAAAGATAGGATTTGATATAGTTGTAGTCAACTGCTCAAGCCTCCATGAATGTTAAACTGTGCGTGGAATATTTGCGGTCCCTGACTATTTAATGAGAGCAATTTTGTCTTCTTCAAATAAAAAAATAAAAATTCACATGCCGTCTACAAGACTTTTACTCCACACGTATTATAATATAAGTGAAAGAACATATGACACGTTTCCGAATGGGTAATGCTAGGGAATCAAAGTTTTAAACCAAATTTGTAAACCAAATAATATATCACCAACAGGAAATAAACACGTTGATCAATACGTAAGTAACTCTGGTTTGCAATTCATAACTTTCTTTTGACACACGAATAAAAAGTGAAAAGAACAGACACGTGTCGACTGTGGGGAAGATGCCCACAAAGCAAAAGCCCAAACAAATTAGCCCAAATGGTCTTCACATTAAGTTCTAATCCAAGACGGCCCATAACTGGAAATATAGTATTTGGCAAACATGTCTTCTTAAACAAAAGCAAAAAAAATAATGCTAGCAACCTTCTCATTTGCTTTCTTTATACAGACAAAAGTCCTACTGAAAAAATTTAAAAGACGACGACTAATGAACGTAGGGTCATCAGCACGACACTCAAACAAGACCGCTGATCAAACAAGCTCAAGCTCACAGGAACACAATACATCATAGTTTCCATCCCCCTTGTTTGCCTAATGTTCTTCGTAATCTAAGACCTTTCGTGTCAGGCCATCTCAAGCTCAACAACCTTGAGCGCATTTGATCATCATTCTGCTGAGAAAGTGCGATTGGCTTCAGGAAGAGTAGCGTCATATTCATAATCATTCTGAACTCTTCATGCTATCCATGGCGAAAAAGACACAAAAGCAAAGAAACTAGTCGTAGAATCAACTCGTTTGCTTACTCACTGTGAAAGATCACCAAGCTACTTCTTTTGAAAGTAGATAACGGAAAGTAAAGTTGTGAGGAATCCATTCAATTCCCTTCCAGATTCTTTTGTGTTGGAACTTCTGATTGTTTTTTCTTTGAAAATCAGGCATAAAATGCTCGATCATCTCTACCAAATCAGCGGAGCACAATCCTGAATCTTTTGCAAACGACTCCACAATTTTTGGAAGAAGGATTTTCTGTTCCTTGTGCACGAGGAAGTTCGATTGGATGTATTCCTCTTTCGCAGTTTCTAGCTCCTCAAACACTCCCTTGGATGTGTACATGCGAACCTGAATAACAACAGCAAATGCGATGTATAATGTATTAGAAGCTTATGGTTAAGAATAAAAACATCATGTGCAAAATGCAGATGGAGTAACAGCGTAGGTGTGTACCACAGGATCGGAATGGCTTCCTGAACAGAGTGCAAAATGCAGAAGAGGTTCAGGATGCTCAATTGCGTATGCTTTTCGGGCATCTCCAACCTTGAATTTTGTTTTCATGGAAAACAACAGCCGCAGCCACTGGTGGGAAATAAACACTGTAAGTCTAAACCAATAGGAATTGGTTATAAATGGTAAACTAGAAGAACGTGAACTAACAAGTTAATTGGTTTATATGGTATACCAGGAAATTAATAACAGGATACAATATGAACTAGTTTCTTCGGAAAGAGACATTACTTGTCCAGGACGGGGCAATCTGCATCCAAGAATGGATCTTTGTATCATGTCTACGCTTATGGTGTGGCCTCCTACATTATAAGCCGCCTGAAAAAAGTGAAAGCTTGTAAGAAGAATGGTGCACCATATCTTATTACAAAACTTGTGAGAGAAAGTTTGTTTACCTTGAGTGGCATTGAAACTCTTTTCAGATTATTCTGTGGAATCCCATATATCAAAAATGCCTGAAGATAGCAGATAACATGATTTGCATATGCGCAAAGACTCAAGGAAAATAGCAAAAGGAAAATAAAAATATTAAATCATCAGGTTATGTACTCTTTCGTGGCTGAAGAATCATACATGCATGACGAGCGCATTGTGCACGTTAATCCAAAAGGCCAACTTCTCCTCATGTTTCATCTTTCTGAGATCAACTCCTTCCAACCGATGGATAAGTGACCTGCACTTGCACAGTTTTCACCATCAAAATTCATACATGTTCTAACAAAAACCCTTCTGCGGAATTCAATTATAACCATGTTCCGATATGATCCAGAAATTCATAATAGCTGGACTGACAAATAGAATGATGAAAATCAACTAAGGGTTCAACATCAATCGGCGTACCTAAATTTTTTTAGTGTGAGTTCAACATCTTCTAACTTATCTGTATCCCTACAGATCCATTCTACCTTTAGCATTCTGCTATAGGGTCCACTCATTTCCTCTGTCCCTTCAGATTGCAAAGGCTTATCAAAATGTGAATGGAAAAATGGAATTTTTCGGCGTTTTGAGCTCCACTTTTCACCTTGACTGTGTGAAGAAAGGTCATATGTTGATGAAGATGTGATTGGAGAGCAAGAGTCATCATGATCGATGACAGGTGGATCTGCAAGTTCACAATATATGGCCGAAATGCACTTAATCATCTCCTCAGAAATGCTGTTTGGTGTCTCTGGAACATGATCAGAAAAATAGGTTTCATAATGTTCCATAGGATAGACACTTGTAGTTGCACTCTGAGATTGCTGCAGAGAAATACATTGAAACCACACATTAGAGGGACATAAAATTAGCAAGCAACTATAATAACTATTAAAAGAACAACGAAGGACAAATAAAAGGGAAATAAATAGCCTCCAATTGGTACATTTTCTCATATCCGTTACCTCTAGCATTGAGAAAGGTAAAGAGTGGTATGAGTCTACAGCTTTAGCTCGAGATTTTGTTCGAGGAGAAGTTCTTATGGAACAAGTTGAATGCTGAGACAATGAGGAATAGCAACGATGAATGCTTGAATCCAACAGTTTTTGTTGGTCCAATATGTCATTGCATTCCTTTAATAAATTTCCAGTTGAATGCCGAGGAGACAGAAGATCATTAGAGCTGGTGACTGCATTGTCATTTTCTGGTGTAACATCTTGTCCAGGAACTTCTGCGGAAACCCCTTTACGTGTGATTAATGGAGACGAATTGAGTCGTTCAGCCACATTAGATTCAGATGATATTTGTTGATCAAACGTTTTTCGGTACATAGAAAGAAGATGGCGCTCCAAGTGCACAACTTGTTGCTCTAACACTGCAATTTCCTTAATGAGGCCCGAGGTAGACTGAAGTCGAGGGAAAGGAAAATCAACTGATTATCTTAAAAATAGCAAAACTCTCTAGAATCATGACTAAAAAAATCATTTATTTGCCTTTTCTCAAAGAGTAATTATCATATTAGTGTCTAAGTTAACAATTTAAAACTTGTTCTTTCATCTTGATAGGTTTTACATCACATCTCCAAATTCTTTAGGAAACATACAAATAATATGGCATGGGAATTCCTTACAAACGAAGACTCGAAACGGAGGAGACACACCTAAACTGATAAAGTGCATCTAAAGCACATAACAGCCTACCTTAGGGAGCGAGTTTTCAATTGTAGCATCAGGTGACAACCGGCGATAACTCAATGCGTTCTCTAAAGCATGGCGTACCGAAAATTGGTTCTGCAATTGTTTTCGAAGATCCAAAATCTGCAAAAGAAAGAAACTGTAAATCATTGGATGCACACTATATATAATCAAAGAACACCTTACTTGTATTAGAAGCTGAAATATTTACCTCCTGACTTAAATAACTTTGAACATCAGAACTAGTGGGGTGCATCTTCATAGTTTCAAAGTACCTTCCCATTTCCTTGTATGGAACAAAACAGGATTACTTATAAGTAAAAAGAAAAGGGTAAATTGAGTAATGAACAGGAATTAATGCATGTGATTCCAGCAAGAAATAAGAGAGCTTTTTTTTACCACAGAATCTGACATTGTGTACTACTGACAGTGAGCTACTCTACTGAAAGAAAAAAAAAGTAAGAATTCCAAATAAAAACAAATAAATAAAACATTCAAAAAAAAAAAAAAATCTCTTACCATTTTCAATCTGTAAGGAGCTTGGAGGGCTTTATTCACTTCATCTTTCTCAAGTTTTCTTTTAACTGGTTCACTGTCAGTAAACAAAAGAACTTGTTAAAATACGCAACGAAGAAAATCGACAGTCTTTTGATAACCATTTTATTTTCTGTTTTTAATAACCGTATCCTTACTCCTGGAAAAACCAGTTCAGCTGTTGATAAAAATTGCAAGTCCAATTGGAAAAATTACCAAAAAAATTAAGGAAAAATTAACTTTGGATTACAGAAGAAGGATATGGAAAACTAAAAGTAGAATTTAAAAATAATGGTTAAAAAAAATAAAAAAAAACACACAGAAGAAAAAGCTACCTGTTGGAACGCTTGTGTTTTGAAACTCCCTCCATGAATTTGGACTTTACTTCCTGCATAGTAAGATCAAAACTTGGCTTGTCCACTTCCAAGGAACTCACTGAAACAGCATTAAATGCAGAAGAAGCCACACTTAAAAAATTGACAAGTGCCTGATCAGAAGAAAACCCAGCTGATAGAAACATCCAATAAACGCATTAAATGTGAAACAGTATAAAATCTGATTGGAAGAAACAAAAAACACAGTGAGAGGGTAGAGTGAGACTACTAACACATATGGGGTTTGTGGAAAGCTGAACCAAAAACTAGTTGCTGAGAGGAGGCCAAATATGTGTGTATGTTTCTAGCTAGCTGTATTATTTCATATCCCAAAAAATCTAGTTATTGACTTTTTGCTGTGGAGATCTAACTATAAATAAAGCTCATTTCGTAATGTATTTCGACAGTTCAATCATTTAATTTTTAAGTCTTCGTTCAAAGATTATGTTTACAAAAAATCACCCAAATCTAAACCATATGATCGTTGGATCAATATTAGTCATTTTAGTGTTTCTTTTCTAAATTGTATTTGTCAATTTTCTTAACTATATTTTAGAGTTATCTAATTTTTTTGTAAGGATGGTATGAATTGAAATACATATAATTCAGATTCTTGAAAAAATATTACGGAATGAATCTTACAAAATGTGTGTCAAAAAGTAAATTTAGTATGTAGTGTCTACTGGGGAGATGATTTTCGTACACTCCTCTTAGCTTCTTAAACATTCCTTTTTAGTTTTGACTGAAACTAAATAAACCAAACTTAAACAACAATCAAAATTAAACAAAAATGTATAAAAGACTGAAAAGAGTGTCTCTATTGTAGAAGATAGTGCTTAAAACAAAAGGGTGGTTGGTTGATTTTTTGACTAGCCCTTGTCATGGAAAGCAATGTTTTAGAGAGCTTTGGCAATGGTGAGCTTTTTGCATTGCATTAAAAGAAGTAAATCTTTATCTCATGGCTTTTGATTGAAGATGACGTGCTAAAGTTATGGAGAAGGAAAAATCTTCACCATTTACAGAAGGAACAAGGGGATAAAGAAAGAACTACCCTTTGTTAAGGCTTTATTTATTTATTTACATTTGGTAATGAGGAATTAGGGAATCAACTACAGGAGAATTCCAATGGTAGATGAAAATACTGTTTACCACTTAATTGGCAAGCGTATTGAAGAGAAACACTAACATTTATATTGTCGATATAGTTAATGAAAATTGTACATTGAAAGAAGTGTTTTGTTTATCCAAATGGTTTATAAATTATGCAAAACTCGCCAATATGGTTCCTCAACTCCAAAATCGCGACATCATCTTCATCATTTGATACTACACAACATTGCGCTCAACGTCACTTTGAATGGTTTTGAAGCTTATTAGTTTCGCCTGATTAAGGTACCACAAGTGATAAAACCTCAAAACATAGCTATGTAGCAAAAGAAAATTTACTTACTCCTACATATGTAAATGGTGGAAACGGTCTCACCAAAACACAATTAAAAAAAAAGGTGGTGTTTTCCACACACTCTTTTTAATCCCTCGCCCACCTCTTGTTAATTTCCGTCCTTTAATTTTCTTCAATTCATTTCATCCGATGCCCGGAATTAAGAGTAATGTGTGAAAAGTAAAAAAAAAATGTCTATGGATAGTACCATCCTATAAAGAAGAAACTATATGTGAAAAGGACTGGAACCAAAATTTGGTGGGATGCTACGTCTATGTATTGTCTGTTGGATCGATGCTTCCCTCACGTGTTAACTCAAAGATTAAGCAATTTGCTTTTACACGACGAACTTGGCTCCCAGAAATTGCAACCATGTGACCTTTAGGGTTTGTAAAGAATTAGATTACAACCCAAATGTTGACTTAGCCATACCAGGTCTACAGACTCTTTTGATTGTCATCTTACGTCATCTCCAAAGTTTCAAACAAATAGGTAGGCAAACCATATTTGATGAGTCATATAGGCAAAATGTTTGCCTAAACCATTAGAAATGCTTACTTTGTTTGCCTACACCATTAGAAATGCTCTTAGGTTGCTTACCTAAGAGAATTTCTTCTCCAAATTCTTAATCAAAAGTATTTTTAGTACTTCAGTCTATCATTCGATAGTCACTTTCAAGGAGTACTAATATATATATATATATATATATATATATATATATATAACTCCGTAGAAATTATAGCTTCGATGATAGGACATCTGTAGCTGGAGTTAACTTGGCTACTCAAATCACAAGGAGGAGTTTCTCTTCCAAACACTTTGTGACCAGCTTACGGACCATCGTATTTATGATTAAAACCAACCGTTAATATTATTAATCATTCTATTAAAATTAGCTCTGCAAAAAATCAATTAAAATCAATAAAGTCGTTTAGTCAATCAACTATAGTAAATAGATAGATAGTTCATAATACTTTTATTAAATTCATCTATTTGTTTTTTATATTGTTCGATGACTAAACAATCTCATTTTTATCTATGTTTTGTAAAGATGATCTTTACAGAATGATTAATACTATTAACAAATTCAATCATATAAGCATAAAGTTTTGTATATTATGTATAAAGCGTTTTGAAGAGAAATTCTCCCTTATTTTTAAATAGCCAAGTATTGTCCTTTATATATCTGCTTAGCCACAAGAGTTTGACTCTCATTGTGTCGTATCGTATGCACTTCATACAAATCCAATGAATTCATTTGTATATGCAAACATGAACGTAAATTTGTGATAAACTCAAAAGCTGTGCAAAAAGCCTTGACATGCAGACATCCACAATGCACAAAATAACCATTTTCTTATCAGCCTAAAGCTGTGAAGCATACAAAATGTGAGCTGTCCGACCAAGATGGAAGAGAATTAGTGGTTGGTCCATAAGCGAAAAGGGAGAAGCACTTAGAAAAAAAACCAAAAGCTATAAAACCTCAAAAGGGCTGAAAGGTGAAGGTCAAAGCTAAAACACCATGCATGATTGACATGAAACGACTGGCATTCGTGGGCTTTCCATTGTCCGGCTAGCTCCTTTGCAGGAGGAATTTTTGTTACTGTGCAAAACCATTTTGTCCAGTCAAAGATTTGCATGTTGCTGCCAAAAGCTTCTTGCCTTTGTTTTCGCTTTTTGGGAAGGGTGCTATACAGTAGACACACTACATATGTGAAGCAAATTGCACAATTCAACCTAATTGTAATCCAATCTAGGGTTTTTCTACAAAACATATGGGAACCAGAGGTGTTTGAATGGCTTCATTAACTGAGACTATCAAAATTTACTCATGCAAATCTACTAAATACACTACTACTGCATGGATGATGCAACGATAAGTTATCGAATTTTCGTTGAAACGAACACAACACTAGTACATAATGTGCAGAGAAGTTAAAGTGTGAATTTACAAAAATGCCCTTCAAGGCAAAAACATTGACTTTTGTTGACCACATTGTTGTGTCACGTAAGATCCATTTTCTTGGCGTATCCTTAGAGTGCTCATCGCTACTAACGCATGGGCGCAAGCATAATCAAAATTGGAGCTAAGATGGAGATTTTACAGACCTACGAATGTAAAGGGCAATTTGGTAATTTTACGTTGGGAGATATTTTGGGTGTGTTGTTTTGTGAGATGTGGGGCCCACACCCCACTTCTACTTCTGTCACGTGTCCTCCCCCTCCCTAATTCTTTCTCTCTCTAGAAGTCTTTCTCTCTGAAACTCTCTCTTTTTCTTATTCCCTCAGCTTCATCTCATCTTTCTCTCACCTCTCTTTGTCACTCCCTCCCACTCTCTTTTTCTTCTTCCCTCAACTCCATCTCATCTTTCTTTCACCTCTCTCAGTCACTCCCTCCCACTCTCCGACACACACACACAAACACGACGACGACACCATCTTCACTACCATCATGGCTCACACTCTGGTGACCCCCACCACCATCTGGACTTCCTCATCACAACCCTTGACAACTGAGGCTTATCCTCCTCTCTCTTTCTCACGCATAGTGGCGCTGCCACTGTTCAAAGGATTCTCCGATGAACCCTCATCGTCTCCGACGACGATGAGCTTTGAAAACCCTCCCAAACTTCCTAGATTTTGTATTAAGGCATGATTAGGATAGTTTTGACATGCGTGGGATAGTTTTGGATGCAGAAATACCTCAGGGGGAACTTCCCCAGTTTTTCAGCTAATCCGACAACTTTGAGCTTTTTTTCGGCCAACTCCGGCCAAGATCGAGGAAACCAAAGGTACATTTCGATTCCTTGTCTCCTGGGCTTTAATTTGATATATTGAGCTGCAAAGTTTGGTTGAGATTTGAGCTCGATCAGAGACCGAGAATTTCTCGGCTAAGAATCCGACCTTTTTCTTTGTTGGGTTTGGCGACCCACGAACCTAACCGAATTGACCAAACGCGTACACTAAAAACCTGATCCATGTAACCAGCCCAACCTAATTGGATCCAACTAAGCCTCGTCAACTAACTCGGCCCAAACCTTAAGCACATTAACTCTAGCCCAAACCCAACCCAGCAACCCAAAACCCAGGATCCGGTCCGACCCGAACCTGAATTCCAGATTTCTGGTCCGGGCGTGGGCCAACACATGCGCTGGAGGTACCGTGCTCCACCGCCATCCACGGTGACATCAACAACTTTTCTAGTGAACTTTTCGACGACCCATCTCTGCATGTGGCAGCGTGTGGGGGAACCCGAGGCCCTTCCTTAGGTTTTTCAACGTGCTGAATCCGAAGCCATTGTCTGTTTTCCCAGATTCGACCGTTTTAGTAGTGCTTTACTAAATGGCCTCTTTATGTGTTTAGGTGCGTCGGTGGGAAATGACATCATTCTCTTAAGTTCACGCGGCTTTCGGGCAACAAAATATCTATGAGTGGACCCCTTCTTAATTGCATGTTTTTATAAAATATTAGGTTTGCATGCATTTCATATTTCATGATTTGAGTATGTTTTATATTATATTTTTACGGATTTCTATAATTATGACTTGAGGAGAATTTATGAATTAATTAAATTGCTTTTAAGGAAGTATTAATGATTTATCGAATTGACATTTTACTAAAGGTTATGAATCTTTGGATTTACGTATTTGCAATTCTCTGGATTTACGAATGTGAATTATCATGTATCTATGTGTTGAGGCTTTGAGCTTTTGAGCTCCGGTGATTGGATATGAGTTTTGAGGTATGTTTTCGGTACTTAGATATGGGTTATCATACATCACATACACACAACCGGGTATGCAGATGTCTATAGCCATAGGACACAATTGATGATATTGATGACATATGCCCAGCTTCACTAGCCTGGGGCTAGTGTCAGTGTGATATGTTATATGTATATGTTTCTTCTTCGGCGTAACTCGAAGT